ACAAAGCTTAATGCTGCTGCAGCCTTACTTAGTAAGTAAGGGCTAGCCAGGCGCACCAGGGCTGGACCAGGGCGCACCTTCAACACCTCCGATGCCACTTCAGAATTAAATAATCCCATATCTCCATGAGAAGGCGCAAATCACACGCCAAGTTTGAAGTTGGTGCCGAGCTGTCCCCTCGACATCGCGCAGCGTGAATTTTACCCGTCACCCGTGCACGAAATCGAAGATTCGATCTAGGCGCTCACATGTTCCCAGCGGGCGTGAACGGTTTTACTTATTAGAGAATTCAATGGAGGTCCACCCGTTAGAAGTCTTATGACATTACCGAACGTGCGCCATCACCGGCAATATGAGATTAGCACTTGGATTGGGCTCGGACTTTGATCCATCCTAACTTGAGCAATTCCCTTCCACTCTAACACAGTTGAACCCCTCCACCAGTAACGAGCCAACGATGACAACAGACACACCTCAGAACAGCAGCGAACATGCTTCCAATCAAGTCCAAGACGCAACCAAGGCAGATGTGCCTGTAAAGGACAAAGAAACCAAGAGTGCCATCGGAGAGATAAATTCTGTTGAACCCAACCCAGCAGAAGGTCTGCCAATCGTTTCGGCTGACGAATCGAACGATGCTGATCACTTGCGTTTGAATACAGAGCTTGAGGGCGAAGAGCAAGGCGAAGATACCCAGAAGGAACTCGAGGAAGAGGAAGACGAAGACAAAGAAGAAGACGAAGGCGAGGAAGAGGATTATGAAGACGAGGACGAGGACGATGAAGAGGAGGAGGAAGAAGAAGATGACACAGACTTCGATTGGTTTGTTTTATTCCACAATTATACTCGAACGACGAGAGTTGCTCATTGCGAATCATCAGGGGAGGACGTCCTCGAGGTCGCATAACGACTCCTATCTCTGGGGGCGGTAAAAAAAAGTAAGCTCAAGGAAGGTTCAGGTATATGATTGGACGTTATGCCGCGTCGACTTTTGGACGATCTAGAAAGTATTATGCTTCGGTTCATTTGCGTTTGAGTAGTAAAGGTTGTAGAATTTTATGGATTTGCATCTCTGATCAGAGGTTGTCGGGTGAGCAGTCGCTGCCGAAGCATTGAATAGAGGCTTCGTTATCAGGTTAAACATACCAATGATTAACCAACAATGGTCGGCATAACCAAAACTGAGGCTTGGATCCGAGACGGTCTGAATATGTATTGCGCAATTCATATATTGCATCATGTTACGATATCTTGCATCATGTTACGATATCTTGCATCATGTTACGATATCTTGCAAGATAGGATAGGATATTCATCCTCTCCTTCGCGCTTTCGGCGTCCAACTCTCTGTATTTGATACAGGTCGCGAAGGCATAGAAGGCAAAGGAGTACCTTTCTTGAGGCTTTCAGTCCATTCGGCTTCTTTCTGATGTTGAGAACCAATCCTTGCATTCGGTGGGGCATTCAGTGGGACCTGCGGTGTTTCCTTGTGTGAAGGTGGCTCAGAAGCGTTCACGATTGACGGAGGGGTAAATGGGGTAGAAACAGCAGATTTCGGTTTCCGTGGCGTCCCAGGTGTGAGGAAAGCAGGCGGTAGGATTTTAGGTTTCTGCGCCGAAGGAGTTTCGAGCAAGGTGGGAGATTCCACAGACTCCTTTTTCGTTGGTATTTCGTGCTCGCTCGAACTTGCACGAGACGTCGATGTAACCTCGGGCAAATCAGAGGGTTCCGGTATTGACGTAACCTCATTCAAAGGTCGCCCAGTACGGCTTGCACTGGCAGCAGCTTCCTCCAAAGCCAATTTTGCATCACGTTGTCGTATTCGCAGCATTTCCTCTTCCTCTGCCCTATCTCTTGCTTCAATCGCATCTACATTTTCTGCCACGCGTTGCTGACGCGCGGCATCAGCTTGGAGCTCCTACAGCATTCGAGGAGATAAAAAAAAATGGTCACTGAGGCACGAGAGCGAAAGCCTACCTCAAGAGTAGGAGGGTTCGGTCTTGTATGTGTTAGCCAGGCTGACCATTGTACTAAAAACGCAAGAATCAGAAACGAGGTCAATAAAAAAAGAGAAGTAGCTGGAATGTACCAGGTAGACGTTCTGCACCTCCAATATACTTCCACATGTCCTCTTGCTCGCCGTATCGCACGATCCTTTTCTTACGGGTCGGATCTGAAAGGAAACATAACGCATATTTCAGGCGATGTCGTTACACGCGTCAGTCTGCTAACAGACCATTTGGATTCCGCATTTCAAAGTATTTATTTCCTGGACACCCGATTTGGTCAGACAACCGGAATTCCAGAGGTTTCTTATAAAGGCGTACCTTGTAAATCCCTGCCCTTATAGCGGACCTACACGACAGAAGAGCTGCGTGAGTGTTGAGTCCACGATGGAGGAACAGAGCCGAGAGGGGGAGTGCTGACCGGATTCCGAATGGCATTCCAAACTTTTGTAAAGAAAGACATTATTATCCTCGAGGTTAAGAGATTAATCCAGGTTTAATGTAGAAGCCGAGTACTGAGCAGCGAATAAGCTGGTATAGTTCGTGACTGTCCGGATGAGAGCAAGAAGATGAACGCGCAAACATTACGTTACGTCAGCGTTTTATTTTAGTCAACTTCAATTGAACTTGAATGAAAGAATCAACTTGGAATAAACTGAAAGAAAATGGTCGATTATCATCTACTACCGTGTCAAAAAGCCACATTGAAGACAAGTAATAGAAAGATGAAACTAGAAATCGGGTCCAAGGTCTTCATCGTCCAAATCTCCGTCCTGAATCTCCTTGGCCAGCTCCTTCTCTCTTTCTCGTGCACCTTCGGCAGCAGCAAGCTCTTTCCGGTGTGCGTTGAGAGGGTATCGCATTGCCTACGAAGAAAAAATCTTAGTGACAGGTCGATCACGTATTTAAATCGAATACATACCTTGACGCTTTGATTGTGCAAATCTAGACAGAAAGCAATTCGTCGTCCAAACACCTCGCTCACTTCAGGTCCATAGCCGTTCTTCTGTGTACCACATTCCATCCAACCTTTCTCGTGGACGATTCTTCCTTCAATGACACCGTCTCGGATGGCCTTGCCTACGATGTATTCGGCGTCCTCTTCCGAGTCCAGGTTGAGTTTGACGCAGATGTCACGAAGGGAGATACGCGAGTAGGATAGGGAGAGCCTCCGGATTCCGGTCTTGATGACGTTTTGTCGGAGGCGGATAATAAGTGTGTAGGTATTATCTTCTTCGAATTGGGCGGCATGTTTTTGGAGAGTTGCCTGGAAATTGTCGAGGGAACCCGTGCGAACGGCTATTAAGTGGTCCACGATGAGGATAGATGAACTTGTCATAGAAAGAAATGCGACGTGCCTTTGACAATTTCAAAGTACGCGGTCAGCGCCTTTTCCAGCACAACGTGTCTGAACAAAGTTCGGTCGGGAATATCGCCCATGAGCAACTCCACCACCACAAAGTATTTGTGCACTGCTTGGTAGAACCCTGGAGCAGTTTTTGGAGGGGGGGCGCGTCGGATCGCTTGTTGTAAATTGGTATGGGCTTCTGAGTAGTTAAGTTGGACAGCTCTGATACGACCGAGGTAGTAATGGTATCGGGCGAACTGTGAGTTGCTCGCGGAGGGTGGGAATGTGGTCTTGGAGACAAGTTTGTCGGCTTGATCATATAGGTTGTAGGTGATGTAACTCCGGAGAAGGCAATTAATGAGTGCAGCGTGGGCTTCTTCATCGGAACGAAGTGAAGCAGTTCGTTGAGCAGCTAGGAACAGACTGTAGTGGAAATTTGAATGAACAGTTTGGTGCATAGAAGGATGATTGACTTACGGACGTGCATCAGAGAGCTCTCCGGCAAGTTCATAGGCACGATCGACTGCATACCATATTTTGGCAGCGATCGCATCCATGCTACGACGGTTCAGGGATTGCATCTTTTCTACTGTCTCGTTGGCCAACTCTAGAGCTTTTTCTTGAGTGTCCTCCGACTTGAGCAAATGTTGAAGGATGAGAAGGCGTAAGTACATCTCGGCTTCGGGTACAAGTTCAGGCTGTGAAGGTTTTGTCGAAGAGTCGACTTCCATTGACTGATCTGAGGAAGCAGGCGCAGAGGGCAGCCATGATAGGAGTGCTTTATGCACTGGGTTATCTATCTGACGGCCTTCAACAAACAGATCGTGAAGAGACAAACTTGCAAAACGCACCCTTGGGGTAGATATCCACAATAGCATCACGTAGGACGGAGTCATCAACGCGTTTTCGCAGAGCAGTCAGAGTGCGCAGAACACGATGGGTAAACCGAGGCTCCAGTGTCGACACTGCGCGGTCGATGAGGGCGACGTTGATCTTGATTTCTGCAACAGGAGATATCGGGGCGGGCTTTGGTTCCTCCTTCTTCTTCTCGTCGGACGCCTTGGCCTCTGCAGGTTTCATTTCAACGTCAGTCATGGTGGATAGTGAATGCAAGCGTTTGAAGCACCGAAATCAGAAGGTGACGCGTCGCGTCAAGGGTAAATGAAGTTAGCAATATATTTGTACAGATTCAACTTCCATCGTTGTCTCGATAGCTAAGTGGTATAGCATGCGATTGCAGTGAAATCACCTATCGCAGGGTCCGGTGTTCGAACCACCGTCGGGACTTTGATTTTTCTACTATTCATTTTGTTCCGTGATGATTCAAGGGTCATTTGATTTTTCAAATAGCGAATCCTGTTTTTTTTTACAAAGCCCATTTGTTGTCTTTGTACCATGTCGATGTTGAAACGTTGACAGCTATGTCACTGTCGAAAAGAAAAAACATGGTTTACTGATTAGTTATGTAATTGTGTTTTTTTGCAGGTAGAAAAAAACTTTGAAATAACACTGCCTAATTATAATAGCACTCGAGTCCTGTCAATGCTCACCACGCTCTCTTCCAAACCTCCTCCGTGGCCATACATTAGAAGCCGCATGAAGGTGTGGCCCAGTAATAAATATTTAGATGTCTGATCGCAATGCATGTCTCGATAGCTAAGTGGTATAGCATGCGATTGCAGTGAGAAAATCACATATCGCAGGGTCCGGTGTTCGAACCACCGTCGGGACTTTGAGTTTTTGTTCCCTTCATTTGCTCGGCACGCTCAGTATGGGCGTTCTTTTTTGCTGTTGCCGTACCTGTAGCGTTCTTTGCAAAAAAAAATAGGAACTTACATATATCCTCAAAATATCCGAGTACCCTTCTAAATTTTTGTTGAATCAGTACTGCAGTACTGTGAAGAATTTGGATCGGTGAGCTTTGGTAGAACGCGACAAATAGAGAGGCTCTCACGGACCGCCGAACACGTCGACTGCCAATTGCTCTTTCCGTTCGCCCGTCGCCATGCTATCTGTGTTTCCCGTCCTGCTCCTCGCATTGTCGGTGCAGGCCTCTGTCTTGACGCTACAATCTCCTCGCATCGTCGTCATAGATTCAACAGGGTCCCAGCTACGCTCAGAACCGTACGTGTCTTGACAAAATACATTCCTGGTATTTCATTTTGACTGGACGTCCTTTTCTTCAATTGCGTAGAATCTCGCTAGCATACAAGAGCTCTACACCCGTCCAGCTCCTCGGCAGAGAGACTCTCAAATTTACATTCCAAGTCGTGGACAAGGAGAGCGGCAAGGGCGTGCAACCCCACCAAACGTTCATTCGTTTCTACGATGAGAAGACCAATGAAGAAGGTATTCAACCCGTGCGCGTAACGCCAGGTGGAAAGGCCAAGTTCGAGCTCGTGCGTCTCTATTTTCTATTTACAAAAGTACAATTCTAAATCACCCTCCAGAACCTCTCTCGCCCACCACTCTCATTACCCCCCACCCCTAACGGCGACCCACTCAAAGTCACTCTTCTCATCGGGTCCTCGCAATATGACCCTCTATCTGTTGAATTATTTGATCTCATTGTGCCTCGCTCGCATCCTGCTCCAGAGCACCCCGAAGAGGTTACATTCCACCCCCGTCCCGAGATTAAGCACACGTTCCGCCCAGATCACAAACTTCCTCCGCCATTCATTTCAGCCGTATCCGTCGGCGTCGTACTTGCACCCTGGGTCGTTCTATTGGGCTTGGTATGTACCTTGCTTTCCTTTTCTCGATATATCCTTTGGAACTAACCCTTCGATATGTTCATTCAGTGGTCCCAAGTTGCCCCGCGTCCTACGCGTCTATTCTCTCCCAGCATCTTCCCCTTCATCCTCTGCCTCGGTGGATTCGAAGTTCTCCTCTTCTGGTACTGGGTTGACCTCAAACTCGGCCAAATCCTTCTCTACGCTGGGATTCACGCGATTCCCACCATTTTCGCTGGCAATTACGCTCTATCGAGCATTGCAAGCCAACGTCTTGGCAGAAAATAAAAGACATTTGGGATATGTCAACTAATTATTGGGGGTGTACCTCGCACTTGTAAATGACGATCATTAAAAGATCTCTCACATCGAATGACCCTGGCGTGACAGTCATGGTTTTTATAAGTCTATGCAACATTTCACCAGAGATCAAGTCTTCAACTTCAACTTCGTACCAAGGGTATATTGCGGGTAATCAGGTAAATTACTAGCATCGTCCTTACGTCGTTCCTCAGCGCCCATACCCATCCGCCAACTACAATTGTGGTGGTACCTTTATGGGCTGAGGGAGTTTCGCATTCGGACTAATGGCAGGAAGTGGAGGGCCTTTCTTTAGCGAGAAAGGCTTGGTTGGGTGCTTTATACCGCCAGTGGGTGTCCCATATACATGCTTCGCGCGTGGCGCCTGGAACGGGTGAGCTTCCGTGTTAAAGACGACTATGGAATTTTGTCAGAATTTGATGCATAGAAGCATGGATTGGATATATATGCACGCACAGTTATCGAGACTGATGTGGTTGGGATCGTCGAAAGTGAGGTACCTAAAAAATCCATCCTCAGCCCTTGAACCTGGATACGGCAAGTAGAAAAAGAAAAACAGCTCACAGATATTTCAACACCTCCGCGAACCAGAAACTCTCCGTATCATCGATCTTGCTCGTGTTCACATCGTTCACATCATTAATGCCAGCAAATCCAGTAGGCGTCTTCAAGAATTTGTTGAAGCTATCCACGGCGCTCGCCGCTCGGTCGAGGTATTTCGGGTCACCAGTTACCCTGTACGCGTAGAAGTTCGACTCTAAAACCTCGGGACGGAGGATATAATCCGGGGCAGTGATATAATAGCCATGCTCGTTATAGAACGCGAGCTGGTCTGCATTCGGTGGGACATCGCCTGTAAAGTCCCCGTCGGAAGAAATATAGGCGAATACTTCTGGACCGATTCCGGTGCTGGTCACAAGATACGCTTTAGATAACGAAATAAAAAGGTAGACGATAAACTCACGCATCGCCAGCATATGTATTCCAGCATCCATCCACGAGGTCGAGGGCAATCCTGACGATCGTGTTGTTGTTCAGAAGACGTCCTCCTTGTGTAATAAATCACATTTAGTACCATCGAATTCGCATCTAAACAGGATCCGTGTACGTACCCAACAACCAATTTCCACCATGGAAGCAAGCCAAGTGAGACCCCACATGAACGATATTCCTCGAATCATCCAAATCCGCAAGGTACAGATGATTGCCTACAGTCGATGTCTGGGGAGCAGTCTCAACTCAGCGTTTTGGCGTTGAAACTGAATATCATATTACCCGAAGTAAATTCTTGATCGATGAGTCCACCGCGGTATGCCATGTATCCGCAAAGAGGTTGTCGTCAGTGTTCGAGAGACGTGCGTGCTTGATGAGGTATTCGAAATAACTGTCGGATCCTCCTCCCCATGTCTGGAATTTCGCACCGTTAGCTACGTTTTCTGACAAGAAATAAGACTTCACTCACAATGTAACCTCCAACGAATGATCCTGTGGCCGGATTGATTCCTTGAGCTGCTAAACCTGATGTAATTGTGAATAACAATGACCCAACGTCCTTCTGCTAGCAAAAATTACCTGGAAGGGGTGCAGGCTGGATGGCGCGTGAAAGGTAGTTTAGATTTAGTTTGGGAAGTCGACAAAGACAGAGCGGCGGAAATGAGGAACTGACCAAGTTCGCGATGTGTGAAAGAGCCTTGAGCGCCAAGTTAGCGTACGTTTGATTTCCTGTGTGCTTGCTGAGAGTCTCCCACTCCAGGGCAAGCTAAAACAAAGATAGCAACGTCAAAGATAGTGGCTGATTTTTTTCAAGTGCAAAACCTTACCGTTCCAGCTTCAGCAATGTTTGACTGGAAAATTCCGTGAGTATGCGTAAAAAAAAAAAGGCATGAATAATAAATTCCAAAATTAGCGTTCTACCAAAGTTCGGAGTATTCGTTGAGAAATCAAGGAAACCGAACGGAATATCATTTGACTATCCATCAATCAAAGGTAACCATGAGGTTCGCGCTCCATTCTGAGGATAGAAGACACGCGTACCCCAACCCATGCGAACGCCATTTTATCTGCAACTTCTTTTGCCTTTTCTAGAAGTACAGGGAACTTTTGGTCGCTGAGCTCGAAGGCACTCAGTAGACCTCCCAGGTAGCGGATGGTGGTTTCAAACACGCTTTATTGATAGAAGCGTCAAAATCAAAGCAAGAAATTTAGAGCGCACGTTCTGACATACCTGACTTTGTCCCTCGTTTGAGACTTGCTGAAGTCAATCTTACTTGAGAAGTTGACGGCTTCCTGAAACAGATCCTGAGGTTCTCGGTGTTTAGGCGTCGAAAGGAGAGTTTTTAAGGGATGAGGTGCTCACATCCATCCCCATGATGTGCTGGTAGCCATTCAATGACAGGGGAATGTCAGAACACAATATGTAAACGCACCATTGTGCTCATCGCATCGATGATTGTAGCTCCTGTTCATAGCATGAGCATTTTGAGTAGGATTGGGGATAATTTTTCATATTACCCCAGCCATTACGTCCATCCGAAAAACCTTGCGCGATTCAAAATGATGAAGCTTCTGAGAACAGGCAAGCACCATACCTTGGCTCAGTGGTGATAAGTCATCATGACCAAAGGCGAACTGCCTGGAATGATGGAAAGGAACAGTTAGAAAAATAATGAAGAGAGGAAACGAACTAACTTGTAAGCAGAATAACTTTCAGTGAAGATTTGTTGGACAGTATCTCGATGGCCCCGGGCACTTGGTGGAAGGACGATGTGGGGGTTCTGGACTGGACCGGCGAAAACGGACCCTGCAAGAGCCAAAGAAACCGCCAGACGTCCAACTGAAAGCATCTCGGATAGAGAACTGACTTGCTTTAGATGCATATGGTCCGCCTTTTATAGCTTGGGGTGGCACCATAAAATACGCCCATTTCTTCCCCGTGGGTACGTTATGAGCTTGAAGCTTCGATCAAGAATAGAATCTGGCAGAAAGGTAAGCAGGACCAGTCCATGCCGATGGGTTCCCAGATCAGGATACCCATTGCGATTTCCCGAGATCCCGAGAACGGTTTGAAGTGAGTAGAACGAGAGAAGCCATCATTTATATCGAGCACCATCGCTTAGCTGTTCAATTGGATGTTGCTCCATGAATACGCTGCTCGGACGCTAGCCAAAAATTTCCTGTGGCGCATCCAACGAAAATAACTGAGTGAGCGCGCGAGAATGTTGGCTGAAAGGAGGTGAAGGGTATTTCATGACGAGATATTCGGTGTCGACACTGCGAATTTCTGTAGCTCTCGCTGGGCACCACCTCGCAAGTGACTTGGGGACCACTGGCGATTTCCCACTCCCGCACATGGAAGCAATATCTTCTGACTGATAGAAGGGTCATGATGCGCGTGGTTATATTTCATGGAAGTTACGAAAAGATTATTCGTTACCTGCGAGCGCGTGTAATGTTGTGGGGCAAAATAGAATATTGCTGGGATTTTAACACGGGATTGACAACCCGTGTGTGTCCAAAACTTCGCAATGAATTGCACGAATTACAACCATTAAATTGCAGTTATTCAAAGCTATGTATCTCTGTTCAAAAAGCCATTAGACACGCAAATAATAATTGAGAAGTACGCAATGTCAGACGCTCACATCTGTGGACATCTCCTCACACAGGTATGTTCTAGACT